AAAAAAAAAAAACATAAACTTGCACTTGGCATAGAACGTCAAACATCCGGAGGAATAGGGAAGGCAGCGGGATAAGAACTTGGAGGGAAAGAAACGGAAAGTAAGGATGGCAGACACGGACACTATTTAAAAGCAATGATAATAAGATAACGTTTGTAAAAATAGAAGTTAATTTTCTGTACATGAATTTCAGAGCTATCAGCAGTTCAATCTTTAGTACATAATCTGTTTGTTCTCCAAGTAGCACCCAACCTGTTAAACATATAAAAGTTGCAGTTACTTTACTGTAACAGCGCGAAGCAGGTAGGCAATCCCTCTCAGCAAAAAGGAACGCTTTTGTCCCTATTTGATTTGAATACAAGCTTTCTCTGAAAGAAAACAATAAAAGATGTGTAGAAAGGCACTAACAAGTCGAGAGCACGTGGAAGGACCAGCTGCGGCGCAAGAAATGCCATATTGCGCATAACACTGTACGCAGATGATGATTCACTTGTCGAGAACACCGAGTAAAGTACCGGCGGTAACAGCGTACTCACAAAGCGTTCGATCTGCTCATCGGTAAGACGCATCCTTTCCGGCACCTAACAGAAATCATTTCAGCTCGAATCATTTTAATAGCGCATCTTATCGTCACTGAGCTGCATTTACTCGCTGTGCTCATTATGCGTTTTTGCATATAAGCAAATTGAAAATAATTGTCCAATGCATGGGCTGCCCATGCGAAGATACGCTTTTTGCATAGTTTTCTGCAGTTTTTGTCGCTACCGGCACCAGTTTTTTCGGCAAATGCTTCTAGCTAAACAAATTAAGACTGGCCGCCTGAACTGGCAGGAAACATCCCTAAAAATTTCAGTATTCTAGCTTTCCTGGCTCCTGAGTTAGCAATTTACTGAAAAAAACTTCCACGGGCCCGTACGTAGGTATCACGCATATCCGACGTCTGAGTTTGAGCTCGTTTAGACTTACGTGGACGGGGAACATCCCCTTAAAACTGCAGTTTTCTGGCTTTTCAGGTTCTCGAGTTAGCGACTTACCCGCGAAGAAATTTCACGGGCCCGTATATGGGTGCCACGCATACCCTATGTCTGGTTTTGAGCTCGTTGAGACTTGCATAGATGGGGAATATCCCCGTAAAATTACAGTCTTCTAGCTTCTCAGGTTCTCGAGTTAGCGATTTATCCGCGAAAAAATTTCGCGGATCAATACTTGGGCACCACGCGTATCCGTGAATGGTTTAAAGCTCATCACAGCTTACGTAAGCAAGTAACGTCCCGTAAAATTTCCACTTTCTGGCTTTTCTGATTCCCAAGTTAGCGACTTACCTGCGAAAAACTTTCACGGGCCCGTACTTGGGTACTACGCATACCCAGGGACTGGGTTTGAGCCATTAATACCTACTTGGACAGAGAAAGTTCCCTTAAAATTTCAGCGTCCCAGTACTTCTCGTTCCCGAGTTAGCAGCTTATCCGTAAAAAATTTTGGCGGGCCCGTACATAGGTACTGCGCGGGCAAGACCATTTATTCTGGGGACTGAGACCCGTATGTGCAT